TAGCGAATTATTTTTTTTATAGGATGTGATCGCCAACCCCATACCCAACCCTCCTTTATCTGGGCTTGGGCCCGGCAGTAGCTCCAGAGGGGCTTTCGGCGGAATTGCTTGGGGCTTAAACATACTCTTATTTACTAGCTGATACCTAACTTGTCCTGTAAATAATATGTTATCACATATGATCATGTATAAACTGCCCCTAGATGCCTTGGTACGGCTTGGGGGTGGAGAGTCTGCTACCCCTCTCCATGTGTATATAGCCACTACCAAGAAAGTCCTACTCAGTACCTTTCCGTGGCGAGGGTTGGGTTTACGAAACTGACAGGACTAAACGCAATTGTTCGGAGCTTTAACCGGGTTGGTCGGTATGAAGGATTCATCTAGGCTGGTTGGAAAACCCTTGATTTCAAACCAGCGCTCTCACAAATCAATTCATGTGTGCCGCATAAATATTTACGTGCCTCTTTAAATATGTTTTAAGATTATTGCTGACCAATAAGGAATCTAAATTTGGCCTTTTTAAAATCCAACGTCTTTAATACTTAATTATAAGCGATTAATAACCTCGTTATTGCTTCCTTACAGAAATATGCAGTTGAATTAACAAAGCAAATCCAACAGTCAGTCGGAAGTTCAAATCATAATAATAATAATAATAATAGTAACACTAATAGCATAATAATAATAATAATAATAATAGTAATAATAATAATATCAATGAAGACAATAACATTAAAATAAACAATGAAAATGTATTTGGTAAACCATTGAATGAATCTTCATTGAATTATTTCTCTGAAGCACAACTTAATCAGTTGTTAACTTTGGCTAAAGAAATTCACAATGAAAATTCTTGAATCATCAGAAACCTAGTTGGAAAAATGTTTATCTCTTTGACAAAAAAAGATCAATGATTACTATGACAAATTTCTCGAAGAATTGTTTTAAACTATGTAAATAAAAAAGTAGTGAACATATTGTTCTTCTTTTGAATTTCCAAACCTGTGATCTAGCTGATGTAAACAAGCTGAAGGTATGTTTTGAGCTGTTGGATGGTGTATGTTCAGGGTGGTGACGTGTCTACTAGAATGCAAAGCTGAGGGGGAGTAGGACAACAATGTAGTAAGTACACAAGATGTGCTCACGTTTAATAATCAAAATGATAGTACGACAGTGTGACAAAAGAAACTAAAAGTTTTAATGGAGTGGGGTTTCAACTACAAGCTTATTCATTCGGTTCTGAATCGTACTTTTTGTATATGATAGCTATTCCGACCGTAGCTGCTACTGTGATGTGGTTGAGCTTGCATATCGAGATGACCTACTGCAACACTCGTTCCTGTGGCTCTTACCGTACCAGAAATCTGTTGAGTAACGGTAAGACTTTAAACAGTCGTACTGCAGACTATATAAGGATGTATTAACAAGACGTTCCCCCAACTAGAATATGCAGATGACATAGTCCTACTTGGTGAAGACGCTGACAAAATGCAGAGTCTTCTGACCACCCTAAGCAACAATGCTAGCATGTTCGGGATGCGGTTTTCCCCCTCGAAATGCAAAATGTTGCTTCAAGACTGGGTTGCATCGGCACCTGAACTAGTGATAGGGAGTGAAGTAGTTGAGCGTGTTGACCGCCTTACTTTTCTCCTGAGTCTCATCAGTGTGTTGCGTATGCATAACCACCGACCGCCTCGTCGAGCTTTGTTTAGTAGTGTAGGAATAGGTTGGAAGAAAGTTAGCGGCGGCCAAACCAAAACATGGCAGAAATCCATGAAATCATTGACGAATGGACTTATCCATGTCGGTAGGTGTCTACTACCTGGCTGGCGTCCGCGAGATGATAATAATCGATGGTTAGATACCCTGAATGACATGGCTCTAAACCGTTTGCAATGGCGCCGGTGCATTTATTCTTTGTGTTCTCTCAAATCCTAATCTTCTGGATTCTTCAACCCCTCTAGTTTTGACTTTCTAAACTTTTCTTACTGAATCATACTTCTTGAATAATATCTTCTAATCCTAACCTCTCCGATTACTTCTAATACCTTTACTACCTCTTCTACTATTGGATTTGAATTGACAATTACATATGTGTGCTGATGTGGTATGGTGACATGAACTGATGTACTTACGTACGAAGTTCTACGTTGCATCTGACTGACTGACTGACGTTCCCCCAACATCCTTATCCTCTGCGATGGAGGGAGGGGTTTGTATGAAGTCGTTCCTAAAAATAGCACAGCTTCCCCACGGGCTTCGTCTACCTGCAATGACGCCTTATAAAGCTGTGCATTAACACATTTCCTCAGGACTACCCCTAATCTAGTTTCCTTTTCAGTTACCAAGACCAGGTGGTATCCTTTAATGATTTGAGAAACTGGCAAGTGACAACCTTCTCCACACTTCTGATACTAGTTGGGATCATTCTGTTCACAAACAAATCCCTTGATGTCTTCTAATGGTACACTATCATTCGAGTGCTTAAACTGAAGTAGGTTTATGCGGTTTGGACTTATAAATTATTGTTTGAAGTTTTACAATATTGAACCTCTGTTTGACGCTCAATGTTCATTCGCATAACCTTGAACATTTTGTTATTTACTGAAGATGTATAATCGTATTTATACTTATTTTTACATATAGTTGTTTATATTAGATATAAAGAATTGTTGTATTAATAACAGATGTACTAAAAGTCTGTCAGCATTTAGGGTTATGCAACAGTATTGAGATACGAAAGGTTATTCACTGGTTATAATCCATGATATATTGTGCAACCATCATCTATTGTCTTCTGTGGATGACTATCTCATACCCGACACGTTTGAACTCCATTGGTAATGGCTTCTCACTAGAATTGCAAGAATCTACTAACGAAGCTAGTCACTCGTGAGAACATGATAATATTCAGTATATGGTTTGGGAGATTGCTAAGTTTGTCTTGAAAAGATTTATACAAATCTAATGCTCGATAGAAATGCATCCAGCTTTCTTGAAAATTTGATATACTGGAAGTTAATTTCAATTGAAATCAAGATAACAGGTGTGAAAACGTAAGTGCCAACTAACTACACAAAAGTTCCTAGGTTGTATGTAACCACCGCCTTGTTTTATAATGGAAACCAGGAACGACGTTTCGTGAACTCTCATTGTTTGCATTACCTTTGCACTGTGATAAATGAATGTGAGAAGAGTTAGTCGTAGAGATAAGAGAGGTATTAGGGGTTGTAAGAAGGATTTGATTTTGACCAATTTGGTCTCGTGTGCTGTTACGGGTATGAGGGCGGTTGTCACTTCCCGGCTGCCCACACCGTGGAAGGTTGTTTCTAGAGGAACCTCAAAAGGAAGGTATATTAGCGTTGGTCTTAGAGACCTGGGTGCGTGATCGCAGAGCCCAAGGGACAACTGCTTGAGGCCGGTCACGCACGGCCTTTTTATGAAAGGTTTTTTTGAGTATTAGCTCCGCTCTTGAAAGCCCTTAGTGGGCACCCTTACCGACAGAGACGGAAATCCATGAGGTAAGGTGAGGTGTGACATTTTTAGGGTCGACCTTTTCTAACCCTTCCTTTCTTGTGAGAAGGCAGCATCGCTGCAGATGCTGGTTATCCAAGGGAAACACCTTACTGCTGCTGTCACACCCCTCCATCACAGTCAGCAGTACGACTTCGCCCTCAGACTTTGAGTAGCTGCTTTTAGTCTGATCGTTCTCCAATCGACCTGCCTGGCATGGTAGAACCTTCAGGAACATGAGTTCCAGCCAATATAGCTCGGTTGGATCATGACGATAGGCTAGCCCGACCACCACGTCAAGGTAGCAGCTTCGGTCGGGATGTTTTATAACAACTTAATATCAATCCTAAACGAAAACTACTCACATATTATGGAGCCTAGACAATTCAGTAGTAAAGTCTCAAGTTGTGAAACATGATGACCCTTAGTTTAAACTTCACAAAAAGATCAATATTTTTTATCAAACATGAAGTTATGCCTTGTGGATGAGTATCAAACTAGCCCCCAAAACCTTGGGGACCCAGGATTTCCTGTCAACCATCTCGAAATACCTAAAACACTTTGACTATATAGTAAAAAATGTTTTTTAGTCTCATTATTAGCAGCAGCCTCTGCAGCAGCAGCAGGTCTCAACATACATAAAGGAAAAAGCAAAATTCTTCGATGCAACACAACATGCACCAACCAAATCACTCTTGATGGAGATGCCTTGGAGGACGTTAACACCTTTACATATCTGGGCAGCATCATCGATGAGAAAGGTGGATCCGATGTAGATGTGAGGGCACGGATTGGCAAAGCAAGGGCTGCGTTTTGTACAGTTGAAAAATATCTGGAACTCCAAACAACTTTCAACCAAAATCAGGATTTTCAATACAAATGTCGAGACAGTTCTACTGTATGCAGCGGAAACATGGAGAACTACGAAAGCCATCATCCACAAGATACAAGTATTTATGAACAGTTGTCTTCGGAAAATACTTCGGATTCGTTGGCCAGACACCATCAGCAACAACGTACTGTGGGAGAAAACAAACCAGATTCCAGTGGAAGAGGAAATCAGGAAGAAGCAATGGAAGTGGATAGGACACACTCTGCGAAAAGCACCGAACTGCGTCACAAGACAAGCCCTCACATGGAACCCTCAAGCCAAAAGGAAAAGGGGAAGGCCAAGGAACACACTACGCCGAGAAATAGAGAAAGATATGAGAGGAATGAACAAACATTGGACAGAACTGGAGAGGGAAGCCCAGGACAGAGTTGGTTGGAGAAAACTGGTGGGCGGCCTATGCTTCATTGGGGGTAACAGGCTAAAGTAACTAAGTAAGTAAGTAATTAATTAGTTGATATTAATTATATGAACAATGAGCTAATATAAGTACAACTAATTATGCATACAAATTCACATTTGTTAGTGTTACACTAATGTGAGAAAGTTTATTTGTAATAATAGTAATACTAATTGTAATAGAAATTCACAAGAGATTTTAATGTCCATTCCATGTTTCTTTTGAATAACCACAACCATGTTGATTACGTCGTCGAATATAATCAGCTGGTGCACTGTTTAAGATAAATCTGTCAGCTAATTCACCTTCAATTGATGTTCCCGGCGGTGCCTAACATTAAATTGACAGAAAAACAGAAAACAAAGAAATTAGTGAATGATTAACGTATTTTACTTCACAGAAAATGTGTGGTGTGCGCTACTTATAAGTAGTATATAACGTGAGTGTAAACGCAATGTCTGACAGCAGCAGAAGATGGGGGAAGATCAAGAAAGGGAGAGTGGGAACACAATGGAATTTGTATGAAACGCATGAATAGTGAAATGTCAGACAATGGATTGATGATGGATTGAAGATTTTCAAATTAACGATTTACGATATGGTTTTTCTATTTTACTGAGTAACTCTGTAATTTGCGATAAATACAATTCGGTTGCCCTCACCTGTGTTCACCTTCACTACAAATGGAGTTCACTTGTGTAACTCGTGGAAATTTTGCTTTCTGTTTCCAAAAGTTTCTCTACATATATTTCTTTCAAATGTCTCGCTAAAATTTTCTGCAAAATCAACCAGCTCAGTTGTGAAAGGTTAACAATGAACAAACAAGCCTGGAGAAATATATGTTTGATGTACATCAAATTGAATAATTAGTAGTATTTCCTGGATCTGAGTTGAAAACCTATTGATTCTTCTTTTCCGATTATTCTAAAAGATGATCTTGTAGAAAAGGACTTTTACTGGTAGAGACCATAGAAAATTGGTTTCCGTACATTGACTTTGAAAATCACATAGGCCTCTGGCGTACTCAAAATTAGATTGATCAATAGGAGAACAAAATCCACAATTACGATGAAAACGAAAATTATCTTTCATTGATGGTTTGTTTAACAGGCATGTGGAGAAAACAAATTCAAATTTACAAAAACAAGAATAGTCTCTAAATGATCCAGTTGTATTGGTAGTTTGAATCTTCTTCTATGGTGTTTAGAACTGTAACTGAGATCAGTCTCATCGGGTACATAAGTGCATTCTGTGTGTGTGTGTGGACTGCCTCGATCAAGTCACAAACTGTTGTAACGCTGCTACGTATAGCTATTCAGCCCTAGCGGCGTCCAATTCAAATATCCCAATACGACCCAAAATGCTGTTTCCAAATCTCCTATATATCTGAACGCAACACAGTGGGATGGAGTTGTTTATTGGGTCGAGAACAGAAGAGAGGTAGGCAGGAAGAACGGAATTATTGAGTCTTACAGGTAGTGCGTATTTATACATTTAGGTCGAATAGGAAACAGCATCAAAGTCTGTGACATTGACACTTTAGGACGACCAATAGAAAAGAACATTTGAAATGACATTGACAGTCCGGATGACCACCAATAAGAGACAACATTGAAGTATTTGACTTTGACAGTTAAAACGATCATAACTTTGACCAATAGAAATCGACCAATAGGATTATACTTCTAAAAATAGTATTCTTAGGATATTTGGTGAATATCCTAACACAAACATTATAGGCAGAGATGAATGGTGGCTATTAGTGGAATCCAAGATGCGCGTGTCGTGCAATTTGAAACTTATGAGCTGCTGAATGTACCTACAGTCCCAGAGTTGATGTTCATTCCAGGACTAGAACTCAAGCTCCATCGCTTTATCTACGTGGTCCGGATAGCCACTCACTCTGAGTGTGTGTGCATTACGCAACCACATGACCAAAATGAGATGAGTTCAGTAAAAAAAAGTAGAAAATGACAAACGAGTCGAAATAATGCAGTGCCTAATAGTTACAAGAAAAATTAAACATTAGAAGTATGATTTTAAAAAGGAGAATGTAGAAGTCTGTTTGATAGAATAATAAAGCTATTCTGAGACCAATGCTTCAGAGTTTCTAATCATTAAGTGTGTTCATAGCTCCAACAACTCCAACCAGGCAGAGTCGGCATCGTCATGTATACGTAAACAGTTAGGTTTTATTCACATGACAAATTAATATTCAAAGTAACAGATCTCTAAATTCTTTTTAATCGTAGTAAATTTAATTTGAAGTTTATTGCATTTTACTTGTTTAAAACAAAAAGTGCAATTTATGGTGGGAAGACACCTACCTATTCAGTATTCAATTACAAGATAACTAAATGTATGAAAAAACATTGTTTATTTTTGATTATCTTTGATTTCAGAAAAAAAAATGTAATTTGGGACTTTTTTTTATTTTTCTGTTACGAAAGCACGTAAACATGTCAATTTGATATGCTTGGACTATTACGAGTTTACCTTAGTCGGTGAGCGACAACGAGAATCTGTGACACGACAAGCTACTCTAATTCGAATGTCCCAACCCTCCTCCCCATATTGAGTAAAAGAAGAAGACTTGGTATGAAATAGAACCTCTATTCTACATACATACAGAAAGTACGAGCTCCGAGTCCAGAAGAGGCTGAGGATCCTGGACTTAGGATCCGGGTCCGGCTGATAAAACGTCACAGATAATACGTATTTATGCAGTTAGGTTGAATAAAAAACAACATTGAAGTATGTGACATTGATAGCTAGGACGACGACCAATAAGAAACAACATTTGAAGTGACATTGATAGCTAGGACAACCAATAGGAAACAACATTTGAAGTGACATTGATAGCTAGGACGACCATAATATTTATTGATCAGTAGGAATTGACCAATAGAATTAGACTTAGAAAAATAATTCTCTTAGGATATTTGATGCATCTCCTAACATTTTCTCATCTCGAAAACGAATTATTTTGTAGAATTGTTCGTCTAATTATAAAACGTAAAACAACTTCCTTAATTAAATCTAACATTTAGCAAAAATTTTTGTGGTTGTGTACACTGAATATGAAATTAAATTGAATTATCAATGAACAGAATTTTATTGTATTATATTATAGTCGATAGGTTAGAACTTTTTACGCGGGAAACAACCTTTTTTTCAAATGATGAATTATTTTTTATTCCTAAAAGTACAGCTATATAAAACAGGCAATTTGTTAAAAAAAACTTTTGAGCACAAAAGCAGAATCATGCTCACTATCGAATCAAAAAAACATTAGCTAATCTCTACATATTTTCTTGATCAAATGAAATCTTTTGTTAGTAAAATACAATATGGATGAACAGTTTCTTGTTATCAGAATTGTTTTGTGTTAAACATATGATTTTAGTATTTTTAAAGTACTTTGATTGAGTTGAACTAAAATTTTTATAGATATTGAATATTTAATAGATTCCCGACTGTAGCTGCTACCTTGACGTGGTGGTCGGGCTTGCCTATCGTGATGACCCAACCGAGCTATATTGGCTGGAATCTTATGTTCCTGAAGGTTCTACCATGCCAGGCAGGTCGATTAGAAAACGATGAGACTAAAAGCAGCTACTCAAGGTCTGAGGGCGAAGTCGTACTGCTGACTGCAGAGGAGTGTTACAGCGGTAAGGTGTTTCCCTCGGACAACCAACATCTGCAGCGATGCTGACTTCTCACAAGAAAGGAAGCGTTAGGAAAGGTCGACCCTAAAAATGTCACACCTCACCTTACTTCATGGATTCCTGTCTGCGGTGGTAAGGGTGCCCACAAAGGATTTGAAGTGACAGTTGAGTCTCTGTGCTAATGTCGTATGCCAACATGAACCTATGTACGTACGTACGAAGTTCTACGTTGTAACCCACTTACTGAATGGATGATTTCTGCAATGTGTATCCTATCCATTTCCTGACTTCTTCCTCTACTGGAATTTGGTTTGTTCTCTCCCACAATGGGTTGTTTCTCATGGTGTCCGTCCAACGGATCCGAGGTATTTTGCGTAGTTAACTGTTAATAAACACTCTTATCTTGTGGGTGATAACTTTCGTGGTTCTCCAAGTTTCCTCCCCATATAGTAAAAGTGTCTTGATATTTATATTGAATTGAATTCTAACTTAAGTGTCGGTCGATAATTGTTGTTTTGAGTTCGAGATGTTCTTCAGTTGTAAAATTGCTGTCCTTGCTTTGCCGATCCACGCCTTCACATCTGCATTGGATCCACCTTGCTCATCAATGCTGCTTAGATAGATATGTAAAGGTTTTTACGTCATCCGAAACTTGACTGTGAAGTGTGATTTGGTTTATGCATGTTGTGTTGTATTGGAGAATCTTGCTTTTCCCTTTGTGCATGTTGAGACTTACTTTTGTGGAGGTTGCTAGTACACTGGTCGTCTTCTCTTGCATTCGTTGTTGCATTTGAGATAGAAGGGCCAGATTATCTGCGAAGTGTATAGCGTCCAGCTGCATCGTAGTTGTCGACTGTGTCCTGTGCTTACCTCCATATGTTGATGTCTTCATGATGCATTCGATCATCAGAAGAAAGAGAATGCGTGGGAGTAAGCAACGTCACCTGTCACCGGTCTTCACTTCGAATGGGTCTGACATTAGTATAGTTAATTTCATTTGAAAAAACTAAACTGGATAAATCTAGGTCCTTGAAAATTGTATATATTTACAGAAATTTTATGTTCGTTGGACCGGCGTTCAGATAATCGGTTACGTGTGTAATAGAACACAAATAATTTTTTAAAGTACATTTCTCACATCCCCAAAAAATATCTATTGCACACAGAAATTGAGATAATTCACTCCAAAACGATTGAATATAAATATGAAAATTAGTGAATGCCAAGAATATAAATATTAACAACCTATGCACAGTTCAATAGACGTTAATAATTGTTAATCAATATATTCAATAATCGTGAGGGCGCGGATTGGCAAAGCAAGGGCTGCATTTCTACAATTGAAAAATATCTGGAACTCAAAACAACTTTCAACCAAAACCAAAATCAGGATTTTCAATACAAATGTCAAGACAGTTCTACTGTATGGAGCGGAAACTTGGAGAACTACCAAAGCCATCATCCATAAGATACAAGTGTTTATTAACAGTTGTCTACGCAAAATACTTCGGATTCGTTGGCCAGACACCATCAGCAACAACCTACTGTGGGAGAGAACAAACCAGATTCCAGTGGAGGAGGAAATCAGGAAGAATCGGTGGAAGTGGATAGGACACACACTACGAAAAGCACCTAACTGCGTCACAATGCAAGCCCTCATATGGAACCCTCAAGGTCAAAGGAAAAGAGGAAGGCCAAGAAACACATTACGCCCAGGAATAGAGAAAGATATGAGAAGAATGAACAAACATTGGACAGAACTGGAGAGGGAAGCCCAGGACAGAGTTGGTTGGAGAAAACTGGTGGGTGGCCTATGCTCGATTGGGGGTAACAGGCGTAAGTAAGTAAGTAATATTCAATCATCAACGCGAATTGTCTTATTTCTTTGGTCGTAACAATAAGTATCATGAACATTAGCTTAACAATTCATTGTAAACTGTTACGGAATGATTATCACAATAATCTTGATAAGAATAACATATGTACGTGATTAATATTAACAGCAGTTTAGGTGTATTTGACATCGAAAAACTCACAGTTAGACTACTTACTGATTAATTGATATGTTACACATTTTTGAAACCATGAATCGATCAATGTTAGACCACCATTAGAAACCTGGAAGCACTGGACGGCCGTTTCGTCCTGATATGGGACTCCTCAGCAGTGCGCATCCACGACTCCTGCACCCCGCAGGATTCGAACCCAGGACCTTCGGTATTGTGCGCGAACGCCCTAACCGATAGACCACTGAGCCGGTATCTAAAGGTGTTAATGTCTAACTTGATCATATTCACGGAGTTGCGCAACCTCATACACAGTCTTCGGTAGTTACTGTCTACACCCGAACAGGTTGAACTTCACTGGTCACGTCTTCCCACTAGAACTCGGAGAAGATTCCTCACGAAGCTAGTCACTGGTGAGCACAGGTAATTTGCATTAAGGGGTTGTGAAGATTGTTAAGTTACACATTTTTGAAACCATAAATCCTGCGGGGTGCAGGAGTCGTGGATGCGCACTGCTGAGGAGTCCCATACCAGGACGAAACGGCCGTCCAGTGCTTCCAGGTTTCTAATGGTGGTCTAACATTGATCGATTCATGGTTTCAAAAATGTGTAACTTAACAATCTTCACAACCCCGTAATGCTAATTGATATGTGTTATTCATGGTCACGTTAGTGTTAATCGAATTCTATCGACCAATGCACGATCAACTACCTAATCTTAAGACATAACAGATACAATTCTAAATCATTTAAACTACTGATCACATTGTACCATGATCAGCAGTATTCAATTGGAGCTGAAGACTTGATCAACATGACAGTAGTTATTATTCAGTGTAAAAATATCTCAGTTAAATATTGCAACCAGTCGTAGCCTCAATAGTCCAAGCGTAGAATGTTTTATAGGATAACAGTTCTCAAAAGATTGCAGGTAAGGATTGATTGATGATGGGGACTCAATAACACGAAACAAAACGTCTGGAGTTTTACTTCTGTCTACTTTGAACCATATAACATCAAATAAGGAACCACAGAAAGAGTATTGCTCTATTTGGATAAAAATGCCTGATTATTTAACACTAAATTTTATTGACCCTATTTTTTCTTCAATCATTTCGTTATTGATTATTTTGTGGGACATTTAAATAATTCTATCAAAGGGAATGTTCAACTAATTTATGTTAGATAACTATAAATATATATTAAAAGGGTTGTGGAAACTATTGAACTATATTGAGAGCATGAATCGATGGCCGTTTCGACCTTGTATGAGTCCTAGGTTGAAACAGCTATTCAGTGCTTCCAAGTTTCTGAAGATGGTATACCATTGATCGGATTTATGATTTCAATGAAATTATAAATGTGAATAGACATACTGTTCAATTGAATATTTCCAAGATTGATTATATTTTTTCTCATTTATTTAAAACAGTTACTCCCTTTTATAAATTTTGATAGAACAGTGAGAAGACGTAGAGTTGATCTAAAAAATGTGATGTATTTGAGGTTTATGGAGGCCTTGGCTATTGGAAAATTAACCCTCCCCCTTATGTGTACAAAAACAATTTGTTATACCTTGGTAATCTTTAAGGCTACAGGTATTATGACAATTCTCCTACCCTATATTATTCTTTTCATATTACGTTAATTTTCGCTTTCTCCTTTATTTACAATTATCACCTTATGTCTATTTGAACTTTTATTGAATTGACCTTTTATTAATCTTCATATAAAATGCCTTGACAAGTTTACATGTGTGATCAGATTGTTCGAAATGTATAGCGTAAATACATCACATTTTTCAGATCAACTCTACGTATTTTACTTCGAAGAATCTTAAAAACCATTATAATATATACAGGAGTTGATGATAATCTTTCTACACATTTGAAATCTTAAAGATTCCCATTGTGAAAATTAGAACAACACATATAAGCGAACAATATTGTTTTCGATTAGATCGTCATCAGGCTTTACTCTAATATACATGAATATTTATATGAAAATGTTAAACCAATCAAGGCAATTTGAGTGATAATCACAATGAAATGAAAAAAAGATTACGTAACTACATCTAATAGGCAAAAGTTTAAGTGGATAATAGGAAAACAGGTGTACTGATAGTAGTAAGAGAATTTGTAAAATATGATAACTAAAGTAGGTCAAGGGTGGATGAATTGAATTCAAATAATCATCAAAAAGCAACATAAACATTACGTAATAAGCAGATGTGTAAAAATAATAATAAAAATGAAATTAAAATAAATAAAATATATATAATGTCAATCATTAGTTACGTCATATCTGGCCACGCAAGAGATAGGGGTGTCACGAATTTCTTCTGAACACATAAATTAGGGTTGAATGTACGTATTCCTATGGCTTCTGCTATGTGTAGGAGACGGGATCGAACTCCGTTGGGAAATGATGGAGGTATACGATAGATGACCCGAAAAGATCTAGATTTATCTACAATGTGACCACTATCTACCAGGTGTGCTAAGACAGAACTATGTATTGTTTTTGACTTACCCTTCATAAACCATGCTGGGAGATGTTCACTCATTCGTTGGGTAAGTTGCCTGGAGATAGCTATATCGGGCGTACTTCCAGGCAACTTAACCAACGAATGAGTGAACATCTCCCAGCATGGTTTACGAAGGGTCAGTCAAAAACAATACGCAGTTCTATCTTAGCACACCTGGTAGATAGTGGTCACATTGTAGATAAATCTAGATCTTTTCGGGTGATCTATCGTATACCTCCATCATTTCCCAACGGAGTTCGATCCCGTCTCCTACACATTGCAGAAGCCATAGGAATACGTACATTCAACCCTAATTTATGTGTTCAGAAGAAATTCGTGACACCCCTATCTCTTACGTGGCCGGATATGACGTAACTAATGATTGACATATTTTTATTTATTTTAATTTCATTTTTTATTATAATTTTTACACATTTGCTTATTACGTAATGTTTTTGATGTTTTTTGATGATTATTTGAATTCTATTCATCCACCCTTGACCTACTTTAGTTATCATATTTTACAAATTTTCTTACTACTATCAGTACACCTGTTTTCCTATTATCCACTTGAACTTTTGCCTATTAGATGTAGTTACGTAATCTTTTTCATTTCATTGTGATTATCACTCAAATTGCCTTGATTGGTTTAACATTTTCATATAAATATTCATGTATATTAGAGTAAAGCCTGATGACGATCTAATCGAAAACAATATTGTTCGCTTATATGTGTTGTTCTAACATTTGAAATCATCAATCAATCATTGTTAGACCACATCATTAGAAACCTGGAAGCACTGAAACACGGCCGTTTCGTCCTGGTATGGGACTCATCAGTGGCAGTGCGCATCCACGACTCCTGCATCCCGCAGGATTCAAACCCGGGACCTTCGGTATTGTGCGCGAACGCCTAACCATTGGACCACTGGACCACTGGACCACTGAGTCCCATACCAGGACGAAACGGCCGTTTTTCAGTGCTTTCAGAGGTTTCTAATGGTGGTCTAACAATGATTGATTGATGATTTCAAATGTGTAAAAACACAAACCCTCCAAAGCTTTGCCCCAAGATAATCTTTCTGTTTGAGATGATCATGCAGCTATAACAGATATCGATCCTGAAACACTGTTTGGTTTCTTTAAAAATGACGGTTTTATATCGAAATTTAATTGACATGTAAGCATAAACTTAAATCAACAGTAAGTAAGAAGAAAGGATTATAAACAGAGGAGAAAAACAATCATTGACTGACTGAATACTGATGATGACCAATCATTTAAATAATAGCAATACATTTAAACAATACTAACCTGACCAGTTTTTTTCAATAATTTTTGTATGTTCAATGATTCAAAGTAAGATTTAGCATATGGATCTAATTGTCCATTATATGGTGGTATCACTGAACCATATTTTGGATTAGCTTTTGAATAATCATCGCAAATTTTGCGTACAGCAATACAATCTAAGATAAATTGACGTTTTAACATTTCCAATCTTATTGGATCATTATTATGAGAAGAATGCATTTTTTTCAAATGTTCATCTTTGTTATTTTGATTCTTAGTGGAGACCATTTTGTTTTTTTGTGTTTTTTTTTTAAAAAATCTGATAAAAAAATGTTCAATGTGTTTGTTGAAAAACCAAATCAAGGTTTCAATGGATTTGAATTTTTTTCAATATTCAATATTTGGTTTTAAAACAATGAACAAGAAAAGCAATGATCTTGTACTATTTATATATATATATATATATATATATATACAGATAGAGGGAGATGACTTTTGCCAAAACCTGTCTTATTGGTTGATATTAGAAATAAAAAGAGGAATGCTACTCACATATTCATGTGAGTAGCTTTGATGTGTGTGATATCCATTTATCATTTTTTTTTGTAAATAAAATAACTTATGATTTTTCATATTGTTTGAATCATTTAAAGTACTATTGTGAAAAAGTACAATCTTGAGCAAGTGTTAAATTTTCAATCGGGTTTTTTCTCTCTCTTTCTACAAATGATTTATTTGGAACAAAAAATAATAATAATAATAACATTGCGGGGTTGTTGTGAAGATTGTTAAGTTTTATTTGTAACCATGAATCGATCAATGTTAGACCACCATTAGAAACCTGGAAGAAGCACTGAAAGACGGCCGTTTCGTCCTGGTATGGGACTCATCAGCAGTGGCAGTGCGCATCCACGACTCCTGCACCGTGCAGGATTCGAACCCAGGACCTTCGGTATTGTAGGCGAACGCCTAACCATCGGACCACTGAACCGGTATCTAACGATGTTAATATCTACCTTCAATCAATTCACGGAGTTGCGCAACTTCATATACAGTCTTCGGTAGACACTGCCTACACCCGAACAGGTTGAACTTCACTGGTCACGACTTCCCACTAGAACTCGGAGAAGATTCCTCACGAAGATAGTCACTAGTGAGCACAGGTAATTTGCATTACGGGGTTGTGAAGATTGTTAAGTTACACATTTTTGAAACCATAAATTTAGTACTGTTTTTCAATACAAATCGTTAATGTGTTAGATGATTTGATATATGAAGTGTTCTCTTGAAATTGTTAAATTTACAATAATCTGAATAACTATTGTTAAGATGAGGTGATTGAGAGAATAATGTGAATTGATCAAGTTAAACATTAACACCGTTAGATACCGGCTCAGTGGTCCGATGGTTAGGCGTTCGCCTACAAAACCGAAGGTCCTGGGTTCGAATCCTGCGGGGTGCAGAAGTCGTGGATGCGCACTGCTGATGAGTCCCATACCAGGACGAAACGGCCGTCTTTCAGTGCTTCCAGGTTTCTAATGGAGTGGTCTAACATTGATTGATTCATGCTTTCAAAAAATGTGTAACTTAACAATCTTCACAACCCTGTAATGCGAATAATTTAATGTAATTACAAATCAGGAATTATGTAACCTATACGAATTAGTGAGTAAGAGTGAATATTGAATAAATTTCACAGAAAGAATTTGCAAGCATTATAACACTAATAATAATACAAACAGAGAAGGGATTGTATGAACTTTAATCAGATTATAATCATGAAAATCATTTTAAAATTGATTAGATCAAAAATTGGTCAAGATAAAAGGACTAGTTGAGCATACTGCTTCTAAATGCAGCACAACTTCAGTTTGTTGGTCTGAATGAATAACTATCATTTCATCCATCTATCTTATAAGACCTCTGATTTGACAGATATGGAAAAAATGCGTATGTGGTGTGTGCTATTTATACGAATGATATAAGTAGTATAAGAAGGGGCGTGAAAGTAGAAGTCGTACGGTCAGAAGAGGAAAACTAAAAGCAAATAGACCAAAAGCAACAAGTAAATGGATTACCAACAGGAAGGAAAGGAAGCAACAACAGGAATGGAAGAAGAAGGATGGAGCGTTGGAAGTCAGGACTCAAAGATGGTGTGCAAATAGAGTAGTGTTCAATGTAATGTTTTCGTTTTTAATCGACTCATAGTGTAAATTTGCATAATAAAATGTCCCCGCCTGCCTCAGTCTTCTCACATATATCTTAGATTATTTATAGACAATCCAACAAAGTAAAAGGCATTGAGCAAGAAATTGATTAAAATTATGTTGTAAACAATGAGGAGGCTTCGAAAAAAACTTTGTGAAAACAGATAATCGTTTGAGTCAGTGTAACACTGAAAGAATTTCGGTAAGTTATCATTAAACTAAACTAAACTATCATGCAGCATGATTTGACTAATTGAGCATATTATTTCCTATTTAAAATAAAAGACTATGAAACTAAGTTATACAGTCTACAGTTTAGATTACCCATCAGAACTTCAGCAATAATCTAAGTTTGAGTTCTTTTTTTACAAATTCTCATTAATGTATACATTATTCAGTTATAGATAACTGCGAACACAGGGCATCTCACTTCGTAATGGGATTGCCTTTGCCGCTTTGTCTCTATTGATGTTGGTGCGTCAGTCGGATGCATCAGGCTGTGGATTGTTTTAAGCCTCCTGTATCGACTCCACAAGTTGCTCTTCCTCCAGTGTTATCAACCTGTGCATGTGTTTCCATGCGAGTAGATTTGGTACTTAAACCGCGTCACCAGCCTAACGAAGGATCTTTTCATGTGAAGACAATCAAAGTTGATCGACACGATCCACCCTTGACTTCCGATGAGATTGCAGTCTCAGACCCTCAAATAATGGTACGAACGAGACTACCGCCTCAAGTTTCGGTCGTCAGATACATCTTCCAGCACGTCTTGTAACTGGCCTCAATAAGTGACAAATAGTGTGTAGAATTCTGCCTCTTACTACGTGCTTGCTACACCTTTTTCCTTTTCGTGGCTTTTTTCATCCCGTTAAATATAATTGTGTGCCTACTTGGGGGCGTCGTTAGTTCACTGATACTGTACACAGACGACATAGTTTGGTCGGGGTACTACTCATTCCGAGAATCGTGAAGTACTTGTTCCACTGTTCATTATCAAAGGCAGCCCTACTTCGAAGTAAGCTACCCTCCGACACTGGAAAATTAACGCTCCAGTCCCTGATTTGTAGCATTTCGTGAGCTGTGGTGTAGCCGTTCCCTTTTTTACACTCGCCTACTGCTCCGTACTATGAACAGATACTGAAGGGTTTGAAACAGTGATTGTGCACTGTGGACAGATAACAGAACGACGAACAGGAGTGACTCAGTGTGAACCCGTACTGCTCTGTAGTTACTGCAGTGTCAAAGCGGCAATAAACACATTCACTTCAGAAGTTGCATTCAAAAGCACAGTCTCTGGTTTTGACTGGCTAATGCTATACAGTTGTTCATAAGTGCTTTCTGAACAGTGAGCTGTATCGTTTGAGTCTTAGGATGCTTCCTATTCTTACCTCGCCTACTGATCTTACCAAGAGTACGAATCTTAGAGGGAGTTTCATCTTGGTTTCTTTGCTGAAGATGAAGTGAGGGTGTTTGGGTCGAGTGATTGGAACTACGTATATTATTCCAAAATACTTTGTCGAGTGACGTTTTCCGTTCTTTATAACTCCGTAGTAACAGACTGGGATTTTCAACCCAATACTAACTCCGGAATTCATTACCTCCACTGGTTTTCCTACTTGTTTTAGTGGGAGAACTGGTAGCGACGCCATTAAGTAACTTGTTAATTGGTTGATTTGACGACGCAAAGTGAGATGATTTGAAGAGAAAAATTACGTGACTTGGGAGTTTTGGAAGGGGTTAATAATAATATTAAGACTGAGTGAATATACACTACGAAAGAACAGAACCTGAAAGTCACCCGAAATTGCAACTTCACAATCGGCCCTCTTGGTAAGCAACTTCGCGAGGGTCCAGCAACTTTCCCACATGTCCTGTGTTTGCGGGTGAATGAGCGTGGGCATGCTGCCGAAGCAACTATGAAGAGAGCAGTTGATGGGGGCAGCTAGACGTGCCACACAACTGTTCTAACTTAGAGTTATTTCATTTGTCTGCATTGTTACTCAGATTGTCTACCAATGAATGGAAATTAAGTTTATATCTTCGGGAATGATTAAATGTCCCAGTCGGGTGTCACGCATTTATAGATGTTTGGGTCACGGGACTATGAGCACATCCATATACAAAGTAATTTCAGGTCTCATACGCTTTCCCAAATCTTTTATAGGAGGGACGAAAACGGGATAGACCAGATAAAGCAGGTGTATCTGCTGGTGATCTCTTGATTTTGAAGAAATATCGAAACGTGTCAGAAAATGAGTGAAGTTGCAGGGCAACCAAAACAAGATGACGAATTTCAATATATATACAAAATGGAAAAATGCTATTGCGTAAGACAAAAGATTAAGGAGTTCCCTATCTAGAAGTCGTGAGTCTCCGATGCCTTCAAGTAGGTATATTCGAAGAGCAAAAGATATATGTTTTAAATGTAAGTAGGCTACTAGCTCGACTCCTAAAGTACATCCCAACTTCATTTAAGAAGGAATCCCGTTATCCACATGAATCACCTAACATGCAGCGACTCATTTAACAACGTGCAAAGGGTACAGAGTGTTCTCGCAGCCAATAGCGCTAAGTCTGTCAACTTCTTCAGTGTGTTTTCCGTACATATTTCGGTGGAGGCTCAGGAGTGATTCCGAATGGGATATAGCGGACAGCCAAGATGCAGCTGAAAGATCTGGATAATCTAGCACTCTTATCTCACACACGGAGACAAATGCAAAAGAAGACTACCAGTGTAGTAGCAACCTCCACAAAAGTAGGTCTCAAAATACACAAACGGAAAAGCAAGATTCTCCAATACAAAACAACGTGCACAAACCAAATCACGCTTCACAGTAAAGCTTCGGATGATGTAAAAACCTTTACATATATCTAGGCAGCATTGATGAGCAAGGTGGATCCAATGCAGATGTGAAGGCGTGGATCGGCAAAGCAAGGACAGCAATTTTACAACTGAAGAACATCTCGAACTCAAAACAACAACTATCGACCGACACTTAAGTTAGAATTCAATTCAATATAAATATCAAGACACTTTTACTATATGGGGAGGAAACTTGGAGAACCACGAAAGTTATCACC